CTAGTCCTGCGGTTTCACCCGCCCCCACCCCCCAAAACAAAGATTGAGACGTACCCAACCCATCTACGTCAAGCGACAAGAGGCGTCGACCCAAGTACGCACGGACGACCACAGCACCAGCGCCGTCAACTGTTATGAAAGCTGCATGGGACACGCGCACGCCGCATGACTCACAGCACAGCGATAGAAGACCGAAAAGCGAGGCCCCACGTTGGAAGAAAATCGGGGCGGGAACGAAGGGCAGGAGAAGCACGGAAAACATGTGGCCTAAAAGCTAGCGTGGCGGCAGCAGGGAGACGAAGAAGACGACGACGAAAAAGGCGGGATGGGGAAGGAGGGTGGCGCGTTGTCCACTGGCATGCTGACCGAACGGCAATGCACGGGCCACGTCGCCTCGGCGCCCCAAAGGAACAGGTGAAAGAAGCGAGCGAGGCCCAGCTCGCTCGCCAGTTTCTCGGCCTCCTTCGTGCACCTTTCACGGCGGGGGCTAAACGCCCGCGGGTGCGCCGCCATGTCTGCGGGCGGCCCGCTGGAAAGGAAATCCAGGCCCGGGTCGCATATAATCAGCAGGTTATCCACCGTCGTCGCTCTGGAGAGCATCGCGCAGGAGCTGCAGCCAAAAGGCGCCCAGGTCCCCGGCGTCTTCACGCCCCACGTCGGCAATGACTCCGGAGTGCATGGTCCAGCCCAGGCAGGCCGTGGACGTTACCCCGCTGGACCCCAAACCCCATCGAAAGCGGCAACGGTTTCGCAGATCGCAGCCTCCCAGGGATGGCGAGGTCGAATTTGGATCCGCGTATGACGTCGCTCCGCTGGGCCCACCAGCGGCCCTCGAAAGTGGTGACGCACTCGCAGATCCCAGCCCCTCATGGATGGCAAGACCTGAATTAGATCCGCGTATGACGTCACTTCGATGGACCCCTCAGCAACTCTCGAAAGTGGCAACGGCTTCGCAGATCGCAGCCCCCCAAAGGATGGCGAGGCCTAATTTGCATCCGCGTATGACGTCACTCCGCTGGAACCCCCAGCGGCCCTCGAAAGGGGCGACGGTGTCGCAGTTCGCAGCCCCCGAAGCATAACGGGATCGAATTCAGATCCGCTGGACCCCCTCAGTGGCATCGAAGGTGCCGACGCACTCGCAGATCCCAGCACCCCCCGGGGATGGCGAAGTCTAGGTTGGATCGGCGTATGAAATCACCCCGCTGGACCCCCAGCTGTCCTCGAAAGTGGCAACAGTTTCGCAAATCGCAGCCCCCAAAAGAAGGTCTAAAATAGATCCGCGTATGGTTTCACTCCGCTGCACCCTGAAGCAGCCCTCGAAAATGGCGACGGTGTCGCGGATCCCAGCCCCTGGATCCGCATATGACGTCTCTCCGCTGGACCCCCCAGCAGCCCTCGAAAGTTGCGACGGCTTCGCAAATCGCAAGCCGCCAGTGATGGCGAGGCGTAGTTTAAATTCACGTTTGACGTCACTCCGCTGGACCCCCCAGCAGCCCTCGAAAGTGGCGACGGTTTCGCAAATCGCAACCCCCTGGCGAGGTCTAAATCCCACCAGCCCTCTGGGCGTCGGTGGTTCCCCTTCGGGGAAGGGTTTACCCCTCCCCCTACCCCCTCCCCATGGACCTGGACAGGGGGTTCCGCGAGGTGTCGGAGCGTCCAAAACGGCCTCGGCGAGGAAGCCAAAATCATTGGTTGTACTAGGGCTTTGGCCCCATTTTGGCCTCCTGAGGGGGGACCCAAATTAGTGCCCCCCCCTCCTGTGATCGATCTGACCCAAGATGGCCCGAAGATGGCCCCCAAGGCCCAAGGCCCCCAAGGGTGCCCCAAGAGGGCCCCAGGAGGTGGCCAGGAAGCACCAAGAGGCCCCCAGGATGCCCCCAAGAGGCTCCCAAGAGACCCCCAAGAGGCCCCAAGAGACCCCCCCGAGGCACCCAAGATGCTCCAAGAGGCCTCGGCGAGAATGCCAAATCATTGATTCTACTAAGGTTTTAGCCACATGCCCCTGGGGGGCACGGATGAAGATGACTCGAAGAGCGCCTGGGAGAGCCCAAGATGACCTCCAAGATGGCTCAAGATATCCCAAGATGTCTCATAGTGGCTCCCACGATGCTCCAAGATGCCCCAAGACCGCTCCAACACGGCTCCCAGTGGCCAAAAAGCTCCCCCAGGATGCCCCGAAGAGGCCAAAACCTGGGGAATTTCTGTGTTTGGCTTTCTCGCCTTTTCGCTTCCGATGGCCATCCGAGGCCTCAAAATGGCTCCAAGATGGCCAAAGAGGGCCCCAAGAAAGGCTCCAGAGAGCCCCAAAGGCGGCCCCGAGAGCGCCTAAGAGCGCTCCAAGAGCGCCCCAAGAGCGCCCCAAGAGGCGACTGGTTGGCCTCCCGAGGGGCAACGCTAACTAATATTCGTTTCTTGTTTGATCGATGTCCCCCAAGATGGCCCCAAGAGCGCTCCCAAGGCCCCCAAGAGCGCTTCAAGGGGGCCCCAAGAGGCGCCCAGG